GGCCATAACCAAGTTGTCTAACTCTCTGCCATACTTTTCCTCTTTTTTTCATAGGAATGATTATAGTACCTACCTCATAGGGTTGGTATGAGGTTTAAATGAGATGATGTGTGTAAACCCCTTAGCATAGAGCCTGGCATGTAGTAAGCAATCGACACATGCTAAATTATTATCAGAAAAGTTTATTGGTCAGGTAAATTGTGAAGATAGTACACCCCTCACCAAGCTGTTTAGTGAGAGTGTCTTATTTTTTTTTTATTTTTATTTTTTTTAAAAGATGACTGGTAAGGGGATCTTAACCCTTGACTTGGTGTTGTCAGCACCACGCTCAGCCAGTGAGCGAACCGACCATCCCTATATGGGATCCGAACCCGGGGCCTTGGTGTTATCAGCACCACACTCTCCTGAGTGAGCCACGGGCTGGCCCGAGTGTCTTATTTTTAAGGTGAGTAGAGTAAAAATTGTGTATTACATGAATATGTGGGCCTGACTGGTCAGCTAACTTGGTTAGAGTGTGGTGTTATAACACCAAGTAACACCAAGGTCAAGGGTTTGGATCTGCACATTGGCCAGCTGCCAGATAAAAATAAAAATAAAAATAAATGAATACATGGTCACTGGTTAAACTTTACTTTTAAAGGTCTAAAAACTCAGGAAAGCCAAACTATGCCTTTTATTTTATTTTATTATTTTTTCCTTTTTTGTCTTTTTTTACTGACTGGTAACAGGATCGCAACCCTCGGTGTTGCGCCTGCACCGCGGAACCGGTCTCCACATGGGATCTGAACCCTCGGCGGGAGCGCCGCCGCGCTCCCAAGCGGCGCACTCTCCAGTGCGCCACCGGGCCGGCCCAAACTATGCCTTTTAAATAACACAGACATTTAGATATCATGGCCATTATTGGGAAAATCTGAATCTGACTAAATGGCATATCACCCAGTATTATCAAATAATTTCTGTGGCTATAACATCATAGTGAAAATATATAAACTATTATTAACTCTAAGATCACTTCACTGAAGCATGACTTGATCACTTCATTTACACAATACTAACAACATCGTTTAGTATTATTCATTGCCAGAATTCATATGAGGCAATTCATAAAATAAGAAATAAAAATGGCCAATATATACTGAAAAGGTGTTACATCATCAAAAATCAGAGAATTCTAAATGGAAATGAGAGGTTATTTTGGGGCTATGCACTTGGTAAAGATTAAAAAGAGGGAGGATACTTCAGTGCTATTGAGGACGTGGTAAAATTGGCACTCTTATACATGTTGATAGAAGCATAAATTGATAAAACCAATCTTTCTGGAGGCCAATTTGGCAATACAGGTAAAAAATTTTAATATATCCTTTGACTCACCAGTTTCACTTACTGAATTGTATTCTAAGGAAACACGATTATACAAATACAGGAAGATGCTTGTATGTGCATGCTCACTATGGTGTTGTTTATGATGACAAAAATTGGAAAACACCTAAATTTATCTATTTACCAATAGATAAATTCTTAAATAAATTATGGTACAATTAGACACTGGAACTGTATGCAGCTATTAAAGAGGGTTAGATAGATCTCTTTGTGCTGGCATGGAAATATGTCAATTTTCTGTAATGGATTATACCATTTTTATATTTTTAAAGTGTATGCAGAGAAAAAAAAATATGCCTACCTTTTAAAAAACAGCTTTCTTGAAGTATAATTTACATACTATATCATTCACCCATTGTACGTGTACAATCTGATGATTTTTAGTAAATTTATACAGTTATACAACCATTACCACAATCCAGTTTTAGAATTTTTTTGTTACCCCCAAAAGTTCCCTGATGTTCATAGGCTTAATTTTTTTTGTGATGTTTAATATTTTACTAAAAGGGAAAGCTTTCTTAAGAAACTTGTTTCTTTTTTCCATAATACATAAAAAAACTATGAGAATATTTCTATTTATTAGTGGTGTCTGAACTTTATCTGTGCCTTGTTAGTGACTTTTAAAAAACCTCTTTATTATTATTATTATTTTTTCTTTTTTTCTTTTTTTTTTTTTTTGTCTTTTTTCTTTTTTTTTTTTTTTTTTTTTTTTTTTTTTTTTTTTTTTTTTTTTTNGCGCCGCCGCGCTTCCCAAGCGGCGCACTGTAGCAGTGCGCCACCGGGCCGGCCCTAAAAAACCTCTTTATTGAAGTATGATAGACATACAAAAAGCTGTTCATATTTAGTGAATATAACTTGATGAGTTTGGAGATAAGCATACGTCCATGAAACCATCCCCACAGTCTATGTCATAAACATATCTCTTATCAAAGGCTTTAATTTTAACAGTGGTTAGGTAATGTGGGGGCTATGTGTGTGAAACTGGCCCAGAGGGAAGGCAGGAGGGGAGAATTACAGACAATTTCCTAATTTATAATTCCTGTATTATTTGAAATATTTACAACAAGGATATACTATCTTCTAATTTGAGAAAACAATAAAGGCTTTTCTATTTTGAAAAGAACAAAAAAAGGAAACAGACATATACCTTTTGACCCAAATCTTCTGGTAATTTATGCTGAGGAAATAATCAAATATGAGGAAAAGGATTTGTGTATAAACATATTTATCCGTGTTTTATTTAAAACAGAGAAAAATTATAAATAATCTAAATATCTCATGATATTTAGAGAACAATTACTAATTGTACGGGAATATGAAAAGTGCAGGATGCAAACCTTTGTATGTAGTATAATCTCATCTATGAAAAAAAGCTAAGGAACAGCCAAAAAAATCCTGTTTGGAAATATATATAATAAAATCTTACCAATAGTTATGTCTGGATGGTAGAATTAGAGTGCTTTTTATTTTATTCTTCGTGTGTTTTTTCACTTTCTCCATAAATGGATACTAATTAAAGATAGATTAATTATGGTATTGTTTTCATGGGTGTATACCTTTGTCAAAACAGGAAGGTACACACTTTAAATACATAGTTTATTGTATATCAGTATACCTCAATCAAACTCTTAAAAAATAAAAGAATTTGAGAAACCAAATCATCTTAAGCCTCTTATTGGAAGAGGGGTTTTGTTATACCATTTGGGGGTTGGAGAGCAAAATGGTTGGGGAGTGGTAGACTGACATTATATAAACAGCAACACTGCCTCTACTCCAGATACCTCCATTCAATCCTTCATCAGATCTGCTTTCCTATTATATGCCAGGAATGGTGCCAGGTCCTCGAATACCATGATGAATAACAAGCCACTGCCCTGAAAGAGCTCCCGTCTGGTGGAGGAGGGGACGGTAGGTCACCCTCTGACAGATTCCAGCCAACGCCCACACTGCTCCACCGGGCAGTGCTGCCCGAGGGGGCGGGAGGCAGATGAGGAAGCCAGGTGGATTCACGAAGGGTGGCACCAGGTTTAGGCTGTGAAGACCGCCAGGAGAAGTTAGGTCACCCTGAAGGGAGTGTCGGTCATCAGTCGAAAAGTGGGCATAAACGATTTTGATATATCTGTGTCTCTCTTACTCGCACACTTGCAACCGTAGGAGCTAAGACTGAGCATTTGCCACAGTGCAAAGGGCTTACATCCATTGCCTCATTTACTCCTCGCCATAGCCCTCAGGTGGGGGCTATCAGGATCTTCATTTCACAACGAAGAAACTGAGGCTTAGAGATATTACCTACCCAAGGTCACAGAGCTCTGGCTCCGAAGCCGAAGCTCTTAGCCCTCACACGTAGTCCCCACTCTCTACTCTGGGACCCGTGTGAGGGCGAAAGAGTCCACTTTCCCGGACAGCTCAGCTTTCACTCTTTACAAATTTTCCCAGATGCAGATGAAGGCAACATCCGCCAGCACAATCGACAGGGTTGTGCCCACGGGACCACTCCACCAAAGCCGGGAGATGACAGTATTCAGGGCTGAGAGGGCGAACTAGGAACAATCGTCGGAGATCGAAGAGCGTAAGCTTCCACCACCCACCACCCACCACCCGACCCAGCCAGCGCTCA